CTTGGACAATGGCAGTGAGGTCCTCAGGACGTAGGTTTGTTTAGAGTGTCCTTCTCATAGATGGATGGCCTCACAGGGCTAACGACCTCCATCAGGCCAGGAGACTGGGATTTGAACCCGTGGTCACAGCAGTGAGAGTCCTGCACGCTAACCACTAGGCCACCAGGGGTCTCACCCGCACAACAAGCCTCAGGTTAAAAAAACCCAACAAAACCCAAAACTCAAATAATCTGTAACAATTTCTGAATTATATTTCAGAGCACACTGAGGAAATGTTCATCTGGGGTGAGCAAGGAGCAGGTAGCACCAGAAAGCTTTAAGGCATAAGAGCAATAAAGAAGAGATCCAGAAGAGCTGAAGTTCCAAGAACTCACACTTCACTGACACCCATTTGCTTTACCTTTATCCACAGAAGCATCTGGGCTGGAGTCTCGCAGCTGTTTAATTGGTGAGGAAGCTTTGACTGGTGCTGGAATACTCAATGGTAGTGATAAAGATGTAGGAACATCAGAAAGTTCAGATTCTGAAGACTGGGAGAAGAGATACTCCTCACCAAGGGAATGTCTGTGTAGCTCCACATCCACTACCTTCCAAAAATAGGAGAAAAGACATTAGTATTTGGTGTCTAGGCAAAGATATAAAAAGTGAAAACAACTATGCCTTTTTATTTCTCTTTTTCTTTCCCCCATCTCTGCATAACATTTCCATTCATTTCAGGGACAGTTCCCAAAGGTCCAGCAGCACCTGAGCTAAGACAAAAATCTTGCAATGTTTAATCCTCAGAGTAAAACAGCACATCTGTCTTTCCATGGGGAAATCTGAATAGTGAACACGGATTATAGAGCTCAGCTCCAAGCATCCCACTAAGGAAAGGGCTGCATATCCCTGTAGGGACAGGCACAAAGCTGCAGCTTGCCTTTTCTGGCTTTTTTGATAAGGCCTTGAGAAACACACCACATGATCTACTCTTCAAAAGTGTTCTTTAATCACAGTAGACATGTCACATTAATGTTTTCTCCACAGACTGAAAAGCTGAAGTAATGCAATTTCACCACAAAAATTTCCATTTACTACAGTACAACAATGGGAGAACAATATCAAGACAACTTCGAGAATATAGCAAACTATGGGTTATTCATTCATTTATTTATTTTAAGAGTTAATTTTCTGTTAAGGTACTGAATCTTGTCAGACAGAGAAACTTAGAAGCACTTAGTATACTGCAAAATTTCAGCAGGATAGTTGGGTGATCCCTTCAACTTGAACTCATTATGTGCGAGCTCTGCAGCACATTAGAATGCAAATCATAACATTTGGTACCAAAAGCTTCAAAAAGAATTAAAAATTAAAACTGTAGTACAAAGTTCTTTCTGAAAGAAGAGCTGAAACAGTCTCCCCTGAACCAGGAAGGGGGAAAAATGATTGTTGTCATGAGTAGTGACAAGGTGTCACAATCATTTCATCCAACAAGAGAGCAAAATCTACATTCTAGAAACTGCAAGATCAAATGGGTCTGACTCCTGTGCTTAGCCCTATGTATCTTTTCTTTCTAAACATCCTTCAGACACTCAAAGTACAACCTCCATCCCACGACCCTCTGACTCACCGTTTCTGCGCCAAGTGTCTGCAGGCCTGTGTAGGTCCTGTCCAGCTGGGTAAAACAATACAATATATTAACCAGGGCAAAGCAATATATTAGGTAGAATTTACAACACAAATTGTTTGAAAGGAGTTCAAACTGTGTAAGTTGAGCAGCAGCACATCCAATTTCTTGAGGCCACAGGGTCAGGAATCTGCATGCTGTGTTAAGTGTGCCTCTTCCGCAAAAAAAGCCAACCATGACCCAAAGCCCACACTAAAACAGGAAGGAGCAAAAAAGCTGAAGGAAATGAGACTGTTGAGGAAATATTTCAGTCTGAGTCCTCAAGCAGTGCCCTTTTTCATTCCTCATCTCAATATAATGAAATAATAATGAGAAAAACTCAGAGATTTAAACTGAGCAGCACGAAGGCTATGTTTATAGTTTTTGATTAAATAACTGTTCACACTGAGTATCAGCTGATAAAGAGGCATAACATCCCAGAGGCATCTGATAAGATACCTACAGAGAGAAGCTGGGTTTGACAGGCTGCCAGCCATAAACAAGGGCTCAGCTCATCCATATCCACTCACAGCAGCCACAGGCTCAGCATGAACAGCAAAGGTTTGCTGATTTGAGCTCTTGTGTGCCAAGGACTGCCTCAGTTTTCTTCTGTAGGCTGGGCCTCCTTCACTGCCCATCACAGTGTTACCAACTTCTCCCCAAGTTATATCGTTATATCTCCCCAAATATATTTCACTCATCATCTGCATTACATGTCCTTAAGTTGCAGGGGAATATTTTCAACCTCCTCTACTGTCTATACTTGGGGTTGCAACAAGGTATCTACATTAGCATGAAATTCATTAATGGAGGCAGAGTTTAAATAAAACTAATGCTGCTCAAAGAAACAGGAGACTAAACCAGCTCAGGACTTAAGTCTGCTAATGCCAGGGACTACTAATTAAAAGGAAAACAAGAGCAATGGCCTAGTTTTCCAGGACTGCTGCATAGTATAAATCCTACTGAGTGCTGCAGGAGTGAGTGGGTTGGAAAAGAAAGCTCTTTTCAAAAGGAACATGGACCAAATGGGGAATCTCAGCCCTCCCTGCCCACTCCAACAACAGAGATCATCACTAGCTGATATGTGCAAGTGCTGAAGGAACAGAACAGACACAGCGGTCACTTTACCAACAGAAAGACAGCCCTGCAGCACTGTCAGGTTTCAGCCAGTGAGAGCAGGATAAAAATCTCAAACTGTAGGAAAAAAAGAGCAGGTAAATACTTTGCTGCTCTGAGCAGAATCGACTGCAGCTGCTGCAAGGCTGGGTTCCCTGGCTACTGCATTGAACCCAATATAGCCAAGGTAAGAGGCTTTCCTGGATCTTTTTTGATTCTCCAGCTCAACTGTTCATGTGAAAATAATCAGCAGGACACACACACAACATAAAGAGGCAGAAACACACACACAAGCGGAGCCTCTTTCAGGTTATGCAGGAGAGTTCATTTAAATGCCTTTCTCTAAAGTATTTCGTTCAAATACCTTCAAATTGTGTATGATATCAATCCTCTTGTTCTGGCTATCCTTGAAGTGTATCTGTACTCTCACTGGAAATTCTCCCCAGCCTCTCCTGGTCAGGTGAAATGGAGGTTCTCTGGAAACAAATGGTGATTACATTTTGATGCAGAAGTGGTATAGATTTCATCTCCCTCTTTTTCAGAAAGCCCAAGACTGATTTTCTTGCAGACAACTAAAGCTATTCACCACCAAGAGAATGCAATCACAGCAATGAGAATTTTATGGCTTTGGAAACTAGCTGAAAACATACTTTAACTTTACACAAGGGGACAGGGAAGAAAACGGTAAAAAGCTGTTGGATGAGAGGCATAGGAAACAAGTGTCTTATTTTGAAAAGAAAAAAAGGCTGTGCTATGTCATCTGTCAAATGAAAAACACTCTCTTCAAAAAACCCCAAGCCAGCTCCTAGGACACAGCTGCAAGGTGAGCTTTCAGTGCAGCATTTTGCAATCACTTCCTTCTGTTCCCTATCAAGCAGAGAGAAGATACATGCTTCATAACACCCAGAGAACAACATACAGACAACAAGGAAAAATTAACCACTGTCATTTTCCAAGATGAAAAAGAGGTGTGTATTTATCTGTAACATTTACTGTTACTTTGTATTTCAGGTTGTTATTGTAAATCCCAAATGCAGTTTTGCAACAAAGCAAAATGGGAGAGGTTTACAGGCTGTTTTTAGTCCAGAACTTTAATGTTCACTAAGATGACTGGGACTCTGACACCAGAAATCAATTAACCAGATGGGATTAAACCAGAAGACAAACAGCACTGACATCAGATACTGGAAACTGAGAAAAAGCACAAAAAGACAGCAGTCAAGTGTAATTTGGTTACACAAGAAACACAAAGGAGTTTGCTACGTTCTGCTATCATAGAATCATAGAATCAGCTGGGTTGGAAAAGACCTCTGAGATCATTGAGTCCAACTCTTGATCCAATCCCGCTGTGGTTCTCAGACCATGGCAGTGATGCCTCATCCAGTCTCATCTTAAACACCTCCAGGGACAGTGAATCCACCACTTCCCTGGGCAGCCCATTCCAATGTCTCATTACTCTCTCTGTAAAAAATTTCTTCCTAATATCCTACCTAAACCTCCCCTGGCCCAGCTTGAGACCAGGCCCTCTTGTCCTACTGCTGGTTGCCTGGGAGAAGAGATTGACCTCCACCCAGCTCCCCCCTCCTGTCAGGTAGTTGTAGAGAGTGCTGAGGTCTCCCCTGAGCCTCCTCTTCTCCAGGCTCAACAACCCCAGCTCCCTCAGCCTCTCCTCACAGGACTTGTGCTCAAGTCCCTTCCCCAGCCTCGTTGCTCTTCTCTGGACCTGCTCCAGCACCTCAATATCCTTCCTGAGCTGAGGGGCCCAGAACTGGACACAGCACTCAAGGTGTGGCCTCACCAGCGCTGAGTACAGGGGGACAATCACTTCCCTGGTCCTGCTGCCACACTGTTCCTGATACAGGCCAGGATGCACAAACCCACATGAATAACATGAAATGCAGCAACTGAATGATTTTTCTCAGAAGGAAATTAAAACAAAGCAAACAAACAAATCGAACCTGTTTGGCACATTTTCTACATAAAATGTACTATGTTGCAGTAAGCCAAGTCAAGCCAGAGGTTAAATACAGACATGGAATACTAAACCAGGAAAAGAAGTTGCTAACTTTCCAAGAAACTTGGCACTGTAAGCCTGGCAAGCATAAAGACTGGAATAGTGACTGGAATAATTCCTTATTACCTCACTTCTACCAGGTCATTAGGTTTGTAACTGGGATGGAGGAAGAACCAAACTTTCTTGACAAAATGATTTATGCTGGGTTCTCTCCGAGAGCCTCGGACGTACACCATCCATTTATGGGTTGACTGATCATTTTCTTCTCTCTTGTCAGGGGGAATGTACCTGGCAAAGAAAGTAAAAAAACAAACACAGGATAAAAATCCCAAATAGACAAATACTGCAAAAAGCATTTTGGAAAAGTTTAGGCAAAAAAACTGGGGATGGTAAAATGCCTGTGGGAACCTTGCCCCCGGTACAGTTTGCTTGTTCATCCTTACTCTGACAGTTCATCCAGGAGCAGATACAGGTCCCAAAATCTACTCTACTCTTCTAACACATTTACTCTATTTTAATGCACAATGGCCATTTGAAATTCACCTATTTAAACATTTGGCTCTTAATTGGGAAGACTTAATTTTAACATTCTACCACAGCCAGATTCCTTTTCCCATCCTATTCTGAGATATCACAAGCAAAACCACACCAGAACACATCAACAACTCTGCTATCATAAATACAATTTATACAATAAAACCAATTATTCTTAGGAATTTTTAAGAAACTTCAGAGTTAATACTTAGTTCTGGGTACAGCCTTAGGTAGATTTTCAAGATGCAAGTCTAAGACTAGGCTTTGTCAGCAAATGCCTGATACTTTCTATGCAAAAGACTGACTTGAGTAGTGCCGAGGTGGAGAGTTAAAACCTGGAATTGTCCATAGTTTCCTAAAATTAATGCCTTTCTTCACTAATTTCCTCAAAGTTCAAAAGTTATGTATATTTACCTGTCAATTTAAAAAAAAATAAATAAAATCTGTAAAAATTAATTTATTTAGATTATTCTGGGCTGTCACAATTTTCCTCATTCTAGTGATTTTGTGCATTGGGGTTTTTTTTGCTGCTTAATAAAAACTCCACGCTATCCCTAGGGACGCACTGAATTAACCAACTAATTCAATTAACCAACACACTGAATTAGGACAACTTGCTTTTCCAAATTTTCATGGAAAAGCTTTGGACTTCTTAACTGATCAAAAAAGGCTAAAATACTTCCCTTGAGAGAAACAGATCTTAAAACCTCCCTATATATACATATATAAATAAAACAACTACTAAAACACCTGATCCTCCCACAAAAAAAACACTCATGCAGACACCTGAGGAGAGCTGCCTTGGCTACAGTGATTATTCAAGGGCAACACCTCATGTTGTGACAGCCCAGCAATTTTATTTGCCTCCTAATTTTAACCTCCTATTCCATTTAATCCTGAAACAAAGGACCGTCCCTCAGGCTCTGGATACTAACTTGGAAACGTTGCCAACCACAATCGTTTTCTTCACATAAAGTCGTGAAGTTTCATCATTTGACAGTCCGGCATTTCGTTGTCCTGGTTTTTGAGAGCTTGAAACACCCGAACTGTCCTGAGGGTAGGGGAAGAAAAAAAAGGCAAACAAAAACCCAAACATTCCTCTTAAACATCATTTTGTTTGGTGCTAGAAATGTAAGGTGCTGTTAAAAAAAAAACAACAACAGACCTGCATAAATGAAAGACCAACAACAAATCACCTCTAAAAATACTTGAATTGCTATCAGACACGTTTAAGCAACTCAGGCATGGAACAGGGCTATCCTACCTAGCCAGGAGTGCACGGCACAGCTTGACTGAGTGGACATTGTGCGACATCACATGGATCTGAGCCATGATTTCAGCTTGGCTTTCAAAAGCACTACCACTGCACTATCTGAAAGAAACAGGCACTGCTAGAATGGCATCATGTTGGTCACTAATCAGAAAAAAAAAAAAAGGTAAATCTCCCACAAGTGGGCGCTGAAAATCTAAATCTTTGTTCTTCCCAGACTCTGCTGCTTTGAGGGACTCTGGTCTTGCTTCATGGTGAAGAGTCAAGGCTGGGCTTGAGACAGCAATTCAACTCCAACTCAGCAGGGACAGCAGCAGCCACACCATGTCACTGACATCCAGGTAAACCTGCAAATCCACCACAATCCTTGGGGCACAATACAACCAGCAACCCTGTAACACAACCCCAACTATTACTGGGGCCAAGGCCAAGATTCCCTGATATGACAATGATATGACCACCTACACTGCCAACACAAATGGAACTGTTGTTTGCATGGGAACAAGAGGCTTTTCTACAACTCTCAGATAAAGCAGATGTCTGGAGAATAAGGGACTGCCATCCTCTAGTGACCAACAGAGCTGGAGCTGCAGCTTCCTGGAGCACACTCCACTAAGCTCTCCCCAGACGAGGGTCAGCATGGGGAGCAGTGGATTCACAAGGAACCATTAGCTCTCCTCTGTCAAGTCAGTGATGCCCCAAAGTGGAGCAAGGAGCCATGGAAGGCTGGGATGGCTCCTGCTCTTTAACACTCCCTCAGTCACCTCGGGGCCACAGGCTGCAGGTCAAAGATGTACCAACGTGCTACACCCAAGCAATGGAGCTGCTCCATCAATGCCCTCAGTGCAAGAAATAAGTTCTGTTGCTCTGGTGGTTTACGATGTAGGTGGGTCCATGTTCCATATGGTGCATCTGCCTTCTGGCACAGACCCCAAGCAGGGTTTCAGCAAACTGCAGCCTTGTTATGAGGGGTGTGACACTGTTCAGTGGAGGCAGAATCATTGCCCTTTCTGCCATGTATTACTACAGCTTGCTCACCTGCTGAATGCAGCCATATTCACTGAGATATACCCATCCCTTGGGTTAGGGGCTGTACTTCTCTCAGGCCTGACTGCTTAAATGAGGAAAGGAAATGGAAGAGTTTCACCTCACCTACTAAGGCACATTTCACCTGCAGACAGTGAGTGAGCCTCCTCAGTGGAGCTACCTGCAGTCAACAGGTGAAGCATTTGTGTGGCTACATGGTGAGCCATAAAGGGAATGGATCCAGGCCAAAAATAACCCAGAAAAGAGCACAAGGGAACAACAACAGAAGGTATGGGTCAGTCTGGTACAATTGAGCAAACAGTGATACTATGATGCAAAACAGCAAGCAGCACCGTAAAGAGAAAACCAACTCCAACTATGCACCCAGGCTCTACCAGCTCACACTCCCAGGGTGAGCTACTCCACTGGTGTTACTGTTTTCACTACAGGTTGCTGAGGAGGCCAAACCCCTCCACTGGATCAACTGCTCTTGCAGTCCCTATCGGCACCCAGGGCCAAGCACTACTTCCTAAAAACCCATCTTGCTCTTCTCTCCAGGCTCTACCCTCCTGACCTGACTTCCATCTGTACAGCAAAGCCCTTTGCTCAGGCTCTGAAGCACCTCCTAGCCCAGAGGCTACGACCAGACAGCAGCAGAGCTGTGCTGCCATCACTCTCCCTGTGGCCTGCTGAGCTCACTGCTAGGCAGGGCTGAGTTAAGAGGAGTTACCCACGTCACAGACACTTCAGGTGGCCTTACAGCAAAGCCAGGCTGAGGGAGTGGGAGCAAGCGGTTGGAGAGGGCAAGAAACAGATCTTCAGCAAGGTGGGTGAAAACATGAAGAGCTCCTGGTGCCAGCACTGAGTCCACAGAGCACACATCTCCAACAACTTGACCACCACTCAAGTTTTACTTTACCCGGCCAGCATTTCTGCTCTGTCTCTGGTCCAGGCTGTTTGCCAGCCGCTCCTCTGCGTCCAAGTTGCCATTGTCTTTGTCCAGGAGAAAGTCATTGTGCTGAGAGAGCGAGTCGCTCTCAGAGTGGTTGGCAGAGGGAGTGTCTGAGCCCTGGTTAGCTGGAGATGAGGATCTCGAAGGCGATTCCAAGAATTTCTTGATTGAAGGGTGATTAAGAATTGTCGCATCACATGACCTGGTGCCCTGCAGGAAGGAGGCAGATCTGGTCACTATACCCCTGCAGCCCAGATAAAAAAGGAGCTGCACCAGAAAAGAAAAAGTCAATGTATGAAGAAAGAGCAAATATTTAATCAGCTGCCCTGCAGGAAAAACATATGCTGCAGAAGATAAAAGCTTAAAATGGTTCTACACAAACAGCACCACAAATTGAATCTGTTCCCTTAGGCCTTTTGATCTCAGAAACCCATCAGGTTTTGGAAAGGAAGACTGCAGCCCACTCAAATACCTACAATGCCCCTTTGTAAGTAACATCATCTCTTCCCATGCAGACACCTACACTCTCCCACCACACACAGGAAGGCCACAGCTGCCCACCCCTTGCAGGCAATCAGGGTACTAAGTGCATCAGGCTCTGTAGCTTCGATACTCACTGGCCATCTTGTCAAAATCTGTGAGGCAAACTACACATATCAGCACTCTGCCTGCTCCCAAGGCTTAACAGAGGATAAATCATAATGTGCTTAGACAAGCTTGCAAACTTTCCTCAAAACGGACATCTTAGAGCTAATCTTAGATCCTCCTAAACCTGCAAGGGGGAGGACAGGGTGGGCAAGTGTTTACATCTCTTTTTTTTTCTTCCTTAGTATGACCAAGGCCCTTTTTTTAATTCCAGAATTTGCTTTTAACCTCAGAAGCAGAAGGAAAACACCCATCACTCAAAGCAAGTGTCCCTCAGTCACTTGTCCCAGCCACCAGTCCTCCCTGTCACCTTGGTTTCATGATGAACCAAGTCAGCAGAAACCCCCCTCTGTCAGACAGACAGCCTTGCTCCAGCTTCTGAAGCCACAGACACACCAGAGTGGCACTGACAGCTTTTCTGACAGGCAGTACCAGTTGAAAGAGGTTTCTTCCCTGCCCAAACCACCTGGATCAGCCAAGCTGGCACAATTATTCATGGGGAGGGGGCAGGTCACAAAGGAAAACAAATTAAGAAACTGACTTGGGATTTATTTGTTGCTTTGTTTACTATTGGTTTTGTTCTTTTTTTTTCCTTTTCCTTTGCAGGTTTATTTTTCATCCATGTGAATTCCCTGATCCAAAATTCTGCCAACATGATGGAGGGGGTTGCATGGGGATAGACACCAGCACCACTATGGAGAAGCAGAACTACCTTCAAGAGGTGGTAGCAGGAGCGGAGTTAAACATTGTCCCATCTTGGCCTTTAAAGGATCATTTGAGAACATACTTTCCAATTGTCCCTTACACACACAAGTGAAGCAATTACCAACTCTCAGTTACCTGTTTATGAGAGTTATATCTGTACATCCAATGGCAGGGACACACGTCCAAAAAAAACCCAAAACTCAAACCAAACCACTACCAAGACCCTCTTCTTTTGCTTTACCTCTTGTCAAGTAAAGTGACCAACACCTTGTCCAGTAATTTGTGGGAACATAATAAACTGTAATCATGAGGCCTCATAAGCCTCAAAACTCATCAGCACTGGGTTCCAGAATTGTTTTTATTTATGAGAACAGGTCAGGAATTTGCAAATCATCTTCCTAGAAGTTCTCAATGAAAGTACAAAGACTCCTATTCTTCCAGAAGGAGAAACAAGACAATCATTCCCTGCCGAGTCAAACATACACGAGCCACAATTAAAAACAGACAACAAAGAAAACTGAAACCAGCAACAATTTCAAAATGAGAAAGAAGTGTTTTAGCCTGCATGCAAATCAGGACTTTCAGAAAAAAATTAAAAATGCAATTGAAGATACAGCTATTCTAGCCATAATATCATAAATACCACTGGAAAACTAAATAAAGCTAAGAGGTGCCAGTAAGTTTTGTGAATACTTCAAAACAATTACAAAATTTGTTATTTCTAGCAAGTGTGAGATTCAACAGGGAAAAAAACAAACACCCTGCATGGCAGAACAAGGGACAGTACAGCTCTTGCAGACATATGATGGCATTGGATAAAGGCACTTTTAAAGATCAGAACTTAGCTCACATTCTTCAGCTGCCCAGACAAAAATCAAGGGGGGCAGAGGGGTCTCCAAGCCTCCCAATGCTTCTACAACTTTTTCCAATGTTCAACTCAAGTTCATTGAGAGAAAAATAAGCTGAACTTTTTTCTTTTTACCCCACTCCAAGCCCTGTGGAAATCACAATAGGGAAACCAGGAGCAGCACTGACAGCCACTGCTTGGAAGAGAAATTTTTATGGGACTACAGTGAAACTCATGTTTGCAGCACCCACCTGCAACTTCCAAAAATCAGCTCAGATCTTTACTGGAAATCAGATCAACTCCCTGAATTGAAAAGATGGTAATGAAATACCTACACTGGTAAGGAACTACATGTCATTTGGGAGCCTGCACAAGTCATGAACATGCTGCAATTAGCAGTCGTTAAGGGCAGAGTGCCTAGGACTGGGGTTTAACTAAGAAAGTTTGAGGTTCTTTTAATCTTGTGAATTTTTAATCTCCCTGTGATATCTCCCTGCTTTATCTCCTGCTCTACTGCTGCCATCAGTCTGTTCATCAACCCTTCAACAGACTGGCTGCCAGGTTAAAGGGAGGATGGTTTCATGGCACTGCCCAACCCTCTAAAAATCTTGATATCTTGACTTTTTTTTTTTTTCTTTCCTGAAAAGTTCCAAAACCCATCTGCTTCCACTCTCCTCCTGTGGAATGGGAAAGCACGTTCTCCATTTTTTAGGGCTTTGCAAGGACAAACTGCGCAGTGTCTGACAAGAAAGGTGCTGTCATGCAAGAACTGGTGAAAAAAAATGCAGAGTATTTTAGAAACCAGAACCAGGGGATGCTGAATGACTTCTCAACCGCTCCCTGAAGACTCTTCTTTGCCAAGTTCCTGAGGCCCAGCCGGTGGTGCACAGGTCTCCTCTCCCACTGGCACCCCACTTGCAGTTTGCATTCCCCCATTTTGTTTAATCACATCTCAAAACCAAACATCAGCTGAATAGCCAGTGAACTCTACACCTTCCTTATTGTTCCCAAAGTAATTTTTACCTCTCCAGCTTTAAGGAGACCGGCAGATGCGTAATAGTTGGCGACAATGCAGGCACGCAGCTTGTCCATCATCCTTCTTGCTTCGATCAGGCGCTACCAAAAGAAGAGGTAACATACAGTAAAAATAACCACTGCAACCATCCCCAAACCCCCCCACACCAGCATCTTAGGTATTGATAGGAACAAAGCCTTTATACCTGATCTATAACTTCGATTTCATGTTCTTTACTCTTCATTTCGACAGCAAACTGTTCTTTTATAATAGTCTCAATCTTCTGCACGGTAACATCTCGAGCTGTAGGAGGCCACACATGGAAAATAAAGAAGAATGAAGTATTTACACTTCTATTTTTGAGGCTCTATTTGAAAACAGAAAGATCAGAGATCACTACGCAGTGAGAAGTGAAGGGATAATAAGTTCAGTACACACAGACAAAAAGGGAAGGATCATTTTTCTGCAAAAGAAAGTTATTTGCCTTAACAAAAACCACATGTATCCTTAAAAGCTGGCTTATGTAGAGAGCTGCTTTTTCCTTTTTAGGTCTGAGACGACAAATAGCAGAAAATGGGAAGAACAGGACCAGTTTGTTTACTTCTGTCTCAGTAAAGCTGTAAACAGTAAGAGGAAAACTCCAAACTGCTACAGCCAAGTGCAGTTACCGCTGTGATTGCGCAGGAACGAGCGGGAACGCCAGGGACGTTTTTCTGCTCTCCTTGGCCAGATTCACATCCAGGAAATTTACACCACATCACGCAGCAATAATGAGGCAAACCCATACTTTATATGTTCAGCACTGGCACGAAGTGCAGCCTCCTCTGGAGTGCCTACAAACCATCTATTACTCACAAACGAAACTATATTATCAAAAGCTGGTCTATCTCTTACAAAATTCCCTTCCAGCACAGCAGTCAAAAAAATTTAGCCTTTCAGCAGGAGTTTACTGACCTCAGTGGAAAGTATGTAGTTTAGGATTTCAAACTGTGCAAATACCTAACAGCACATTAGTGGCTAAGAATGAAATTGGCACATTATTGTATTTTTCTAGGACATGTATACATAGGAAGAACTGTTCTTTTCGCTCTACACATACCATAGCTTTTAATATCGCCCTTCCTTTGTCACCTCCATTACCACTCAAGGGGGTTCAAACAAGAACTATTTTTACCAAGCTCTAAGTAAGAATCTGGCAAAGCAGGAATTAACACTTCTAGAAGAAAGCCTGAAAAAGGTGCTCCAGCTTGTGCCAGAAATACAGTGACTCCACTGCAAAGCAGATCAGAGAAACAGCCTGGGCTTCTCTGGAAAAATTTCACATTGCTTCTACATGGAATAGAAGGCAACAGCACCAAGACTTTGGCTTGAGCTTCAGAGCAAGCATATGTTTTCCTAAAAGGTATGTATCTGTTTGAAGAGGTTTTTAATATCCCAATAGAAAGAGTAAAGAAATCAAAAGCAAGTCAAAACCTTGCTGGTATGTTCCAGACAGCATACATAACTGTACTGTCTGATAAGGTACCTACAACAGGAGTGAGGCAACTGATACCTCTATATGCAGCAGGGGTATCCTAAATATTTTTACTTATTTCCACATACCTATATATATACACATATATTCTAGGATCAGCAATAGTTCAGGCCCGCATTAAAACAGAATTACATTGGAATCTGTATGACTAAGGCAAAATTAAAAAGCAGAGGGATATAATTTACCTCCAGCCATGCCTAGGAAATTCACATGTAAGGCTACACTTAAAATAAACCTAAACAGATAAAGTTATGAGATGTATGGTTCAGATGGGGACAACTCCATCTCTTCCCTGAGAGATGATGCCATGCCACACCAACATTATGACAATTAAAGCACTTTAGGATTTGTGGTTATATTAGGCTTTTAAGAACACTTTATTTTCATATTTTTCCCAGCTTGTGTCAACCACAGTCCCTCATTAAGACTGTGTTAGTGAAATTTGTATACTTTAGGAACTGAAAGCTGGAGATCTTCCATGAGACGAAGAAAGAAGCCAATTTGGAGGAATCACCTGAACAGAAAGTTCGCTTTGACAAGGACAGTTTTCCAGGGCCCTAAGACTTAGCCTGCTCGTTATCAAGACTTTCTGAAGAAGTTGCTTCAGAAGCAGATTTAAAATCCCATCTGCAGTCCCTGGGACACTCCAGAACAGAGGGTGGTGACTTCTGGCAGCCAGACAGGGCCAGGCAGCTGGGAGTGGTGACACGGCCACACACAGCACAGCTGCACTGGGCCCCACTGTGAGGGCCCCTGCCCCACGTGGCAGACAGGACCTGACCAGCAACACATTCACTTCAGAGTTCAGCCTCCTCAGACCTGACCAGCTGTACACCATCCTCCAAAACATCACCCACAAAGCCATCGTCTGTCCCTCTCCAACTGGCAGCTCCGGCACCCTGCTCTATTCCTGGATCATCTTCAGATCCCACAGCCAGCCTCGGTTTTCTCACCTCCCTGTTCGTCAGCTCTTCCCATCATGATCCTCTCACTAGCTGTGCTATGCCAAAAATCACTGGCCTACTCCCTGTCCCTGGGGCAAGAAGCTCCATTCTCATTTGCCCAGAGAGGACTGCAACCTGTCCCAGGCACTCTGCCAACAGGCTGGTTTCCAAAGCATATCTAATTGTGCCAAATGCAAACCTACTCATCCAGCTACTCTCTCCACTACACTTCTTTGTTCCCATCTCCTTTAGTCAGGTTCCTCTTCCTCCTCTCTTGCATGTTTCAAGGCCCCTTCCTCCTCCCTAACTTATCCCTTCTACACTGTTCCTTTCCATTTTATCTGCCTGCTCTTGCAAACATTTGTCATCTTCCAAGAGCCAGTCTGCGTACTGCAGGGTCATGGATTTTTTTTCCCCTCCCCAGGCTGTACTGCAACCTGCGCACCCCCCAAAACATAAACAAACTGCCAATCCTTCCAGGAGCAGACTTCAACTGCAGAACAGATATACAGGCTGCAGCACAACTCAGCATGGGAAGGTGCACTGTCAAATACCTCAGCAAGCAGCAGGAACCAAAGTACATGGCTGGAACCCTGGAGAGCTCGTGCTCCAGCTGCTATCATGCACCAAAGGCTGCATCCTCACACTTTATTTACGGTTCAGATAGCAGGCAGGGATGACTCCACATACGGCACATCTTCATTTGGCTACACAGAGGTATCACTACTTGCCTTGCTCAATGTCTGTCCTTTGGCCCCTTAGCTCCTGCCCCAGCCCTTTCCTGAAGGTTTGTGGACAGCATGCACATCCACAGCATCTCCAACTCCACAGCTCCTACCTGACTGTTCGGCTGCTTTGTGCCGCTTGCTGGGATGTGTGATAGTGATCTCCTCATAGTCAGGGTCCTTCTCTGCGATCACTCTCTTGATCCCAGACATGTTCTCTACTCCACTGACAGGAAAAATAAAAGCATTAGCGTTACCCATAGTGACCTTCTGGGCAAACTTCAACCTCTCACCTCATGCGGGGAGGTCTGTAGTGCAGCCCCAGGACAGGGGGCAACTCCTTCCCCCGGGGCTAGAGATCATCCCACACCTGCACAGGGGAGCTGGTATGTTCTGTACAGCCCGGGAGCTTCAAACGCCTCCCGGGCCCTGCGGTTCCCCACAGGCCGAGTGCCCACATCCTCGGCGGGGCTGCAGCGGTACAGGGCCCCCGTGCCCCGCTGCCCATGAGGGGCAAAGAGACCCCGCTCGGGATCCCGAGACTCCGGGAGACCCGGGGCTCCCTCCGCACAGGCACTCCCGCCGCTGGAAGGGGGAACTCGGGCACCCAAGCACACGGGGAGAGAGCCCAGGGTGCCCCAGCACCAGCAGGGCTGCCCCGCTCCCCGTCGCAGGGTCACACATCGGCCGTGCCCCGCCGAGAACCGCCTAACGCGGGCCACGACCTTTCCCGTGAAGGGGCAGCGCGTCCCGCCGGGGCGGGAGGGGCGCGGGGCAGGACCCGCAGCCGCGAAGCCGGGCCGAGGCCGAGGCGGGGCACGGTGTGAATGTCAGAGGTGTCGGGGGTGACGGCGGTGGCGGTGTCGCCGCGGGGCGCGGAGGGCGGAGCGCTGCCCGCGGCCAGTCCCACGTGCGGCGGCGCCGCTCCCCTCCCCCGCCGCGCACACAAAGCCGCCGCCGCAGCCGCGCTCCCGCCCCGCGCCGCTCCCGCCCCGCCGCTCACCCGCGCTCCGCCACTGCCCGGCCCCGCCGCCCGCACCCG